TATATATATATATATATATATATATATATATATATATATCCAGAAAAGAGGTTTTCATGCAAGACCTTAAAGGAAACTTTTAAAAGATTAGAAATAAGATTTATTGTAAAGGGAATTGTATTCACTATGCTGTGTACACAATAGCTACCTACCCGGCCGTTTCCCATAGTTTTTTTATTGGATGGGGACTTTAGCCTTTGGTTTTGGTATAGGTCTTTCAAGACAGTGTTAATTGTGGTCTCCTTGTCATCCCTTTATATCACTGAGTTTCTTTAAATGGTGGCCTGCTGCTTATATGTTGGGACTTTGATAGGAGAGGAACAGGTTGTTTTGACACTTAATTTTTTTGATGGTAGAATTGTCTTTAAGTCTTACCAAAAATATTGTCTTCCTTTAGGCTATTTCTAAGTATATGTCTCAGGCTTCTTAATATGCCTCAGGTAAACTGAGGACTTTTTCTTCTTGTGCTGGCAGTTTTGTTTTTTGTTTTTAGTTATCAGTGAGGGCTCACATTAAGTTTGCCTTGATTAGATTTAGTGGTTTCAGAATTGGACTCTTGCAACCAGGAATTTTACATGAATCTTCTGAGTGTGACCATCTCTTAGCATGTGGAGTGAGTATTGTTCAGAGGTCACTTTGAATACTTCACCTCCAGCTTCTTGGTAGGAAATATTTCCTTTTGAGAAGTCTTTTTATCTGGACGCATCGGTGCTTATGGATATGTGGTGTGTTAATATGTCGCAGGGAGCATATAGCAACTGCGTCCTTGAAACAGTGTAATTTACTGAGAGTGACTGATTGCAGAGTGGAAGTACCACTCCTCGTTTTTCTTACTCTCAGCTCTTGTACCCAACTCAGGCATGGAGGATACTATCCTGTGTTCTCACGTGCTTGCCACTCGGCTTCCCCTCTCTGCTCCTTTGCCAGGTATCTTAGTACTTCCACTGCTCCAAAGGCAGCCAAGCAATTGTTATTTTCATTGTGGAAACCCAGCATGGATGGGACTACTGCCAGGCACATGAAGCCACACTGAGATAAGGTAGCCTTTGGTTGTGTGGCAAGTTTTCTTTTCCCCAGCTTAATTCTCAGGGCTGTTTTATTTAAAACAAAACAAAACAAAACAAAACAAAGAAACAAAACCCAGTTCCCTTTTTAAAAATAAAAGAGCAACATTACGGTGAAAAATGAACAGAATACAAAAACCACAGCCTGTTAAATAATGCTTTCATATTACCTCTCTGATAAAAGTTGGCTGTGACAGGCAAAATGAAGATAGGTGGTGCTGATTGGCAGGTTCTGAGTCCACTAAGTGTCAGTGAATTACTCTTTCCACTAGAGAACAGGTAATTCACCAAAGCACCTGCCTAGCAAGGCATGTGGCGTCAGCAGCAGCTGTGCAGCTGAAGAGGGATTATTGAGCAGGTGGTTGAAGAATCGCATGCCGCACTGACAAGAAAATACTCAGTCCTGTGTGGGTTAGGCTCCGTTCACATGTGTGAAATTGCACTTTGTTTCACATTTCTTAATGCCTATTGTTGATTTGTGAGTGAGATGGTAATGGAAGAGAGGAAAGAGATTCTTTTCTGAGGAGCATGCCTTACTTAGACATGGCCCTGCACGGCCCTATTGTACTCCTGGAAGTTCTGGCTTTATGCCCCATGAAAGGGAAGGAAATAGTGGTAATTCAGTGCTTCTAGGACTTGTTTATTAGAAGGAAATGAGAAACAGAAAATTCTTTGCTTCCTTGATGGTGAAAAGCTTTAGCCCACTGGGAGGATCCTGGCTGGTTTTATGCAAAGGGCACACACAGTTGACTTTGCTGTGCTAAGTCCACCTGAAGCTCCTTACACAGAAATTTGTATGCTTTTATTTTACAAATGTCATTTCCTTCATGAAGTTTACATTTCTTCAGTTTGCTTTCTTCATTTTTTAGGTTTTTTTTTTTTTTCCCTTCAGTATCTTTATAAATTTTTCTTGATCATCCTATCATCACTTGTTAAAACCAAATTATCACCAGAGGACCACATGATGTTAAGGAACTATTTTTTATTAAACATTTATTTTAAAAATAAAATATAAGCAACTATTCTATTTCCTTTGATTTGGAATAATACTTTATATTTTGAGGATTTATGAAAATTTATAGATTTCCCTTTAGATTGTTATTATCATCTTTTGTTAATATGATTTTCCTTGTTCATTGAGGCTATTTTCTTTTCTCTCTTTTTGAGATGCTGTCTTGCTATGTAACTCGGGCTGGCCTTGATTCTCTTGTTTTCTCAAGAGTTTCTTCAACCTCCTAAAGACTGATTACAGGCGTACACCACCACCCTTGGCCCCAGACTAAAATTAGGAACAAGTAACTTGATGTATGTTTGGTAATAATTTTTGTATTAGGTCACAGGCTTTGTGGTTCTTCAGTTGTCATGCCCACATGCCCAGGAATGGGCACGTCTAGTAGAAGTCCCCGGATACTAATCAATAGCTGATTGAAAGGAAGGAGACTGTATTAATGTATTAAAGACTGTTTTAAAGTCCAGATAATAGAGTAAAGGTTCTAACCTGTTTTTTTACATTAAATGTGTGTGTGTGTGTGTGTGTGTGAGAGAGAGAGAGAGAGAGAGAGAGAGAATCACCATCTTTCATTCCGTCCTGTGGGATCTTGGGATTGAGTTGAGGTTGTAGACATGGAGAGGCAAACACTGTCAGGGTTTTGTTTTCTTTGAATTGTGCACAAAGCACCATGTCTTCTCTCCTGTCATTCTCAGTACTTTGCTTTCTGGTGCTGTTCTCCCTCCCTCATCGCCCAACCTGGTTCTTTGCTCTGAAGATGTCTCCATCAGCTTAGAAACACCAATTACTGTCCTATTACACTCGCAACCCA